GAAGGGTAGGAAAACCTGCAGAACAATTTCTTTTCTAGATGACTGCATTTTATTGACAGCATGGTCTGACATCGTCCTCAGGATAGATACCAATTTAAGGCATATTTTCTTCTTCTTTAAAAACTAAGATAAAACTAATAAACTAAAATTTTGTACATAAAATGATCGCTGAAATCAAGCTCACATAGTCACGGATTGGGATTTTTCTGTTCACTCGTGTGTGTGTGTGTGTGTGTGTGTGTGTGTGTGTGTGTGTGTGTGTAGGGGTTTTATTATTTTTAGGTTTTACATTTTGGCCTTTATCTTAGTACTGCTTTTGCTGCACCTCTTAAGCTTGGTATGTTGTAGTTTTACCTTCATTTGTAGCAAGGCATTTTGTGATATCTGTGAATTCTTTCTCAACACATAACTTGGTCAAGAGTTGTGTTAACTTTCATACATTTGCAAAATATCCTGTTTTCCTTTTGCTGTTGATTTCTAGTGTTGTTCTACTGTATTTAGAAAAGATACTTGTTATAATTTCAGTCATCTTCAGTTTAATAAGACTATTTTTATGGATAATATACTCTGGAGAATATCTAGTGTGTCCTTGAGAAGAAACTGTTCTGCTGATATTGTATGTAGGTATGTTAGGTCCTTCTACAGTGCTAATCATGGCCCATTTTCTTTTTTAATCTTCTGTTTAATTGATCTATACATTATTGAAAGAGTTGAAATCTAAGATTATTATTTATTTCTCAATTTAATTTGTCAGTGTTTTCTTCATATATTTGTGTGCTTATACACTTAGATTGGTACATCATCCTGGCAAATTGATCATTTTATCATTACATTATTTTTTTTATCCTTTGTGACAGTTTTTGACCTAACTTCTATTATGACTAAGTATAGCCCAACCCTACTCTTTCAGTTACCATTTACATGAAATATTTTTCCAATCCTTCACTCTATGTATGTTGGTATAGCTAAAGTAAGTCTCTTATAGTCAGCTGCTTTGAAATCTTAATCATTTATTAATTCTCTTTGATATATGGTTTGTGTGCCCTAAACATCTTAAGATTGCAAAGACTATGCAGAATCAGTTGAATCTCCTTTCAATGGATGACTTTACACATTTTTAAATGTTTTAGATATCAAGTAGCACAAATCTCAAGGACAGAGAAGAATTTTATTACTTTAGTCATGAAATCCATTTGGCTATAAGATCTGCTTTCCTAGCTATGAATATAAACGCATATGCAGCCAGGAAGCATTAGTAGATCACAAAGCCTGACATGGCATATCAGAAGCCAGATATTCACTTATGCAAATTATAATAAATTGATGGAATAAATTGAAGAAATTTTGTACAGTATACACTTTTTTTAGAAAAAGGGAGCCACTGCATAATATAAATTTCAATACCATGATATTGGCATTACATATTAAGCCAACATGGTAAAAATTTCTATATTTTGTTCAGAATGTGTTTGTATTTAATAAAACATTCAAACATGTTTTGAACACTAAAATGTGCCAAGCATAAGGCAAACGAGTCTACATTTATATGTAGACCCCGTTCTCACCACTCTTAAGAGTTTACCCTTGTGGAAAAAGACATGTATAGAACCAATGGGTGCTGTGATAGAATTTGGTATATGTTACTGTGCTGTGGCAAAAGGTAAGGGGTACCTATACAAATCAGATAAGTACACCTGAATGCATAAATAGATTGTCATGTATACTTTCCCTATTAAATTCTAACTAATTACAACACAACTAGCAAAACCATGACATATACTAGGGACCTTCTCCGACAGGCCAGTTGTTGAGTAACTGATGAACCTGACCCTGTATAGTACTCTACATAGGGCTCCCCACTGCTCAGTGCCAAAACTCCCCATATTCCCAGAACACACAAAGAAGTTCATAAGTATCTTAACATAATTGCAAATTCTTAAATAGAATACACATGCTTACATTTTCCAGTAATTGATCCATTTATGTAACTTGAAAAATAATACAAATACCTTTTTACTATAAAATTACCTAACATTAGTTAAAATTGGCAGTCACTGGGTTTCATTTATAGCAAGGAAAAAAAAAATATTTTAAACAGAACCAGAGTAAGGGGGTAGATGGAATTTGAGTGGTGTGTCAATATTTTAGTTTTATATAACCAAACAAGAATTCAAACATACTCAGGCTAACCTGAATAAAGAATTAGCATCTGTGTGTTTAGTGCCCAATTTTTTCTTTGGGAGAAACCTGCAAAATTTTTTCTGGTGGTAACACAGACATTCCCTGAACTCTTGCTATAGACATCTTGTCATTCTCCAAGAGGCCTGTCAACTCTGCTAATATGATCAATCACCCAGGAGGGCCTTCCAGCTTTGTTAATTCCATTTATTTCCGTCTGGTTTCCTGATTAATTTTACTCACAGACAAGATAATTTGGCAAAAGTAACTTGATATTTAGAGCTTAGTGTTATATTTTTCTCAACATAGCTTAGTGTTACATTTTTCTCAACATAGTTTATGGGACTGATTTAACATTAAATGAAACCAAGGACAGCTACCTGGCTATCTGTTTGTAACCACTTGCATCCCAAGAAAAGGAAAATATACTCATGACTTATGGATTTTTCCCTGTTTACTATTTGGTACACACCTTCTTGTGTTTGAATTTGTTATTTGACTAAATATATGAGAAACTGGGTTAAAAATGTTGTTCCACTCCAAGTATGCTTCCAGTTCCTCTACTACTAAATACAGTAAATTCCAAATTGTGGAATAGTTCAGCATAATTTTCTAGAAAGTTCTATTTTGTGTCAAATATGAGTCCATTAGAGGAAACATCATCATAATGAATGTGAGGTTCAATATAATTTCTACTCTACCACATTAAAACTACAGTACTTTGATGATATGCCTGTTTTTAAAAAGTGTATTTTGTAAATTTAAACATGCTTTAATCATAAGACCAAACAATTCCACTCCCAGAATTTACCCAAGACACATAAAAATAAATGTCCTCACAGAGTGTGTATGACAATTATTTGTAATAGCCATACAGGACTATTCATAAAAGTTAAAAACCAAAGTAGCCCAAAGTTCACTTAATTGATAAATATATAAATGAATTGTGGTACATCTACAATTTGTACATTTATTTTTATATGTACATTTATTTATATATGCACAATTTGTACATTCATTTATATATATTTATTTATATATGTATAATAATAAATAATAATAAATTTATTCCATCAATTTATTATAATTTGCACAATGTGGTACATTCCATGGAATATTACTTAGCCATAAAAAAGAACCAAAAAGTATGAATCTCAAAAATATTATGCTGAGTTGAACTAAGTAAAAAATAGTGTAGTATATGATTCTATTGAAATGTAATGCTAGAAAGGGTCAATTCATAATGACAGCCTGTCCATGGTTTCTGGGATCATGCAGAGGAGGGGACCAAGTCAAAGGAGATCAAGGAAATTATTTAGTGCAAGGAATTGGTTATCTGTTTTGATTGTTGTGGTGTTTACATGCTAGTAATCTCCCCAAATAGTATCTGTCCTTTGAAAGAGAAGATGATTATTTCACATCTTCAAAGAGGGATGAATATACTTAATTTTTGTGTGTGTATGTATAAAAGTACAATCAAGTTTTTCAATCTTTAAACAATGGGTGATCTACAGCATTTTATAAATTTTAAATGAAAATTTTTAAGAACTAGGAAAATTTGGTTCAGTTATGTGATTCCATATAAAATCACTTTAATTTTTTTGTGAATGAACTGCACTTGGTATGGTATTTCAAAAAAACATGTATGTTTCTTTGAGGACATTGAGATTAAGCAGCAGCCTGTAAATATTTGCTGAAATGAATGGGAGTGAGAATTTGCAACAACACTTATTTAAAGGCTGCTTACTCTTACGTTGTTCCAAATTCCAAATTTTCATCTTAATGCATTTTGGGAGAATCCAAGAACTGCCAAGATGGCACTTTGAAAGAAGAGAATTTGGTCTCCTTAAGAATAAAACTGCTAGATCCTCCTTGAGATAATGAATTCTGTTCATTCAAAGATTGCCTGAAGGTGTGAGTTCACAGTCCATCGCTCTTCTGGGTGAATCAGGTTTAAGTAATTGGAAGCTTGTCAGTAGTGATGTTTTTTCATCTTTTCTGTATCTAAAATGGTAAAATGGTTCTTTTTCCCCAAATTTCCTAGGTTCAGATAGAGTTCGTTTATAACAGTAAATTGACTGTCTTTCCATGAATAACATCATATCTATGTTTCAACTTAGGATGTATTTAATGTCATCCCAACAGATATTGAGCTGTATGAATTATAATTTTCACCCTTTCTTCTTTTAATCATAATTATTCTGTTTCAGAAATTATACTGTTGTTAATTCCAAAATCATCGTGGTCACAATAAGGCCTGAACCCAAAACAACTGACTCGTTTCTGGAGATAGAGCTAGCTCATTTGGCTAATGTAAGTACTATCTACTTGGCATTCAGTTGCTTTCAGAATTACCCTTTTAAGAAGATCAACAATAATACCTTGAACCAATAGTGTCAGAACACGTTTTTTAAGCTTTTATAGTTGGAAATGTATTCATTTGTTATGATCACATATAAACAGGACACTATATTGTTCTATGTTTTTGTTTCTGATAAAGCACTCTTCAGTTTATCCAAGATAATAGTTAATAAATTATTTTTCTGTGCATACATCTTTATCGAACTCTATGCTAGACCTGGGGAATAAGAATGTAAACAAAAGCTTAGTTCACTGTGTGATAGGAAACACTGGCACATAAATTCATGGATTTGAGTTACATGCAGCAACAGAACTTATAAAATTAGCACAAAGGAGATCAGTTGACTTGGGAAGGTGGAGTGAGTCGGGCAGCAGGTTTCAACATTTAAGTCGACTTCAGCATTGGGGAAGGGGCTTTATAACTTCCTGAGTGCTCCACTGGTCTAAACTTCAACCTTCCATCATCCCAGAATGACAAGCACCTTTCCTTAAGTCCATTCAACTGCAACTGAAATGCTTTAAATCATGCTCGGTTCTATATTGAAATTAATTTTTTTATCATTTATACATTCACTTTAAATACTTAAATGATTAATGGGTAAGGACAAGGAAGGTAATTCTTATCAAGATCTCCTCATAATACTTTCATACTTCCTCTATTAAAGTTATCCAATCTTATCTTGTATGCATGTATATTTTTATTATTTCTTGAAATGTTTTTATCAAGTTGACTTTCATATTAAAAAAAGAAGCAAAAACTGATTAAGCCATTTCCCCAAGTTTATATAATTAGAGAATGACATAATAGAATTCATACTCACATCCTTTGGGCTACAAAACTTGTGTAATTTCTGCCATTGTGTAATTTCTGATTTCCTCAAGAAATTAGCCTTAGTTTCATAGAAAATGATAATCATCTTCCCCGTGAACTGCTTTTTGTTAAGTTGCCTCAGGCTTCCTAGACTGTTTAATGAAAACTGCAAATCTTCCCTTAATAACTTTCAAATATCACAATTAATATTTGAAAAATTAGGTCTTTTGCTACTTTTGCCAAAATGTGACCATACTGGTTGTTTCTAATCTCAAGAATGTTTTATTTCTTTAATATCTACTTCCTCATACCTTCCTATAGCTCTAATCTCATTACTCTCCTAAAAATTGGGAGACGCATTTGAACATTTGAACATGTGCTTTTGAATAAGGAGCTTATTTGTGTGTTCAAGGTTGTCTATGAAAATGTCTATCACTTTGCCTGTTTTTATTGTCATGAAATTTCTCTACAGTTACAAGAATTGGTGCAAAATAGTAAGAGATATTTAGTTTCCTATGAAAATTATAGAATTACAAAATTAAAGTAATACAGTGTCAGAACACAGGCCTTGTTCTTTATGCAGAAAAATTTTCTATAAGTGAATATTTGTAGGACTTTCCTAAATAAAGATGAAAACATTATTTAGAATTTGAAACCATGTTAGAGGAAAATTGTTTGAATTTTATATAACTTGAAAAATAGTAACCTCAAAAATAGTATTGATGCAATAGTTTCTACTTTAATTCAAGAAAACTATTTGTAAAGAATACATTTAAGCTTGGACTCAAACTTTTATCTTTTGATAATATATTTTGACAGCCAATTTATAAAAGAGGTAAACCATGTACTAAACATTATTTTTCAAATATGGGAAACAAATGTACAATCAGCAGATTTTATTAAGCACCAACTAGACACTGGAGTGGAGTGAAAGTCAGCATATAAGAAGGAGGAGATAATGATCATAAGGCACTTCGGATGAATTCTGTCTTAATATTTTGAGTAAGTGAATTGATCAGCCACCAAAAGAATATTCTCTCCACTCTAAAAGACCCAGAGTTTTTTTAAAAAAATATATAGATAAATACCTTACAAAATGGAATGAGGAAACAAGAGGAAGAAAAAAAGTTTCTGCTGGAGAAAGAAAAAATGAAAGTGCTCTTACTTCAATTCCCCCTCACCTGCAGTGCTGCTCCACACCTGTGCTCAAAGGCCACCTGTGCTCAGAAGCCACTGCAACTCCAGCCACACAAGGAGCTTTGCTGGGATCTCCTGGATTTTAAATGCACGGCACCACCTATACAGCATAGACAGCTCTTTATGCTTTACCATTTTAATTTCTAATGATAATTTCATCTGCAATTATATTCTTAACCAAATTAGATTTTCAAAAACACTGTATTGTTCACTGAAGTAAGGAATATGGGACTGACTCTTTCAGACATCTTAATATTTATTACCAGTCTTAAAAAGATATTTTCTACATACTAATATTAGTTTGATTTCATTGAAGTGGTCACTAAAAAAGCCTACACTGAAAGATAGCAATCTTAGCTAAAACATGAGGATTGAAATTGATGGAAACAAGCTCAATTTTTATCTATATTCATTGCCTTTGTAATTGGATATGATGTGTCTCTCTAATAATAAATATGTCTACTTTCACCTATTTTCTTATAATAAAATTATTTTCCATACTTTTCTGAGCTTAGGAAAAAATAATAGCTTACAAACTACATCTGTTTCATAGGATATTCTATGTGAAGAAAAGGAAAAGTGGGAATTAAAAATTATATAGTGAGTCTAGGGGAAAGCCTGTTAACATTTTCTAAATGAAATATATTTTTTTCTAAAAAGCTTTTTATCAAATAGATTTTATAGTATGTTAAATATAATAAAGCCCTTGGGAAATGGTAGGAATAAGAAATATATAGAACCTTGCAGTTCCAAATTGCAGTTAGCAAAGCTAGTTGCAGTTTTAACCAGGTTTTAAGTCATTAATGAGTAAGACACTATTCTTACTTCAGGTTCTCAGTCTTATGTCTTCATTGTCATGACCATATAGACTCTGGATTTCTGATGCTTCATGCTTAGTCATAGCAATCATTGGCTTTTAAGAAATATTACTTTTTCCAGGAAAAGAATTTTGCATTTCATATTACTGAAGGGTTTTTCAGAGTAACACTTAAAATTATCAATTGGTAGAATCTACAACACATATGGAAAGTTAATAATTTTTTGAACATAGTTATTGAGAACTAAGTATAATAGGAAAACTCTGTATGTACACACACACACACACACACACACACACAGTGAGGATGCCCTGTGTCTGACAAGTCTGGACCTACTGTGTCTTTCCAGAATGGATAACATCCTCATATTTAAAGATGAGCTAAAATAATAGAAAATAAATGAATTTTAGTTATCTTCTGCTTTATCACCTTTGCAAGCCTGAAAATGCATTATTTTTTTTCTAATAAGAGTTCTTCTGCATAGTTCCATTTTGAGTGGAAAGATGGAGTAGACTATGCTGGCCTGTAGTCTAAACTTGCCCTTTTTAAAAAAATTCCCCTCTGTGAAGCAATTCTAATGGTCTAAGTAGGGTGTTACTCCTGTCTTTCAGGGTTGAGGAAAAACCCATCAGATTTATTTGTATTTCTCAAACTGATCATGTGCACACAAAAAAAAATCTCATGGGAATTTTGCACTTGTGAGTTTTGTTTTCTTTGTCTTATTTGCTTACATACTAACAGGATCAAACTAACCAATTAAGAAATTTGACTTTTGTATGTGAACTAAAATTAATCATGATCCAAAGCCTGTGTAAATCATGGAGGAAAACAGAGTGGAGAGTGTATTTCTTGCTACTATTAGAGAAGCATGAGAAATGATATGAAGAAATCCCAGCATTCATCAGGAAGTGTGTTCATGAACATCAAATTCTAAAAGCTTAAAGAATTAAAAATCATTTGGCAAAACTTTAAAAGGGAAGTCTATGCATCAATAATTTTTACAAAGGGGTATTATTAGCAGTCCTTTGTTTTTTAAATTACTTTTGTGCCCTAGCTTTTGTCCATTTGGTAGAGCTTTCTGGTTTTCCTACTTACTACTCTTGGTGATTTTTATGGGAGTCTTGAAATGCTAACTAGACAAGGAGATTGATGGCTCTGCTACAGATGAAATTGAGATGGAAATTATTTTCTAGCTACATTTTTTTGTGTTTTATCATAAATTCCTAAACTGAGTAAGCATCTCCTCACCTTTCAAATTTGGTTTATTTTTATTCATTTTACATAATTGATATTCTCCAAAAAGACTTTCAAATAATTGTGCAGTCATAGGAGTAGGTGTTGACAAATTTTTCCAGTAAACAGTCAGATAGTAAATATTTTAGGCATCAGAGCCTAATAATTTCTCACATGTCCTCAACTATCTCTTGCAAGTAAAAGCAGCCAGAAACAGTATATAAACATATAGAAGTGGCTCTATCCCAGTAAAATTTTCTTTACAAATATAAGTGGCAGGTCAAAGTTAGTTCACAGGCTATAGTTAATCAGCCTCTCTATGGTATGCAGAATAATAGCCCCTTACAGATGTCCACATACTAACAACTTTCAGAACATGTGAATATATTACGTGTTCAAAAGGACTTTAGTATATTACATGTCAAAAGTGATGTTACATGTGTATTACATGTCAAAAGGAACTCCTGTGTGATGTAAGGGTAAGCACTTTGAGATGGGGAAATTATTCCAGATTATATATTTATGCCCAGTTTAAATAAACGAGCTATTAAAAGCATAGAATGTTGCCCAGCAGTGAACAAAAATGTGAAATGTAAGGATTCAACCAGCCTCAGCTGTCTTGTCCAGACAAGGAAAAGGGCCACAAACCAGGGGATGCAGACATTCTTAAAAGCTGATAACAACCCCAGTTGGTCAACCAGGAAATGGGGAATGCAGTCCTTTAATCAGAAGGAACTGTAACCAAATTCATCTCCAGATTCTCAGAAAGAAATGAAGTTCTGCCAACACTTCAATTTCAACCTGGTGAAACCCTTAAGTAGAACTGAACTCTTAGACTTTTGACCTATGGAAACTGAGAAATTTAAAAAAAAAAAAAAGAAAAAAAAAAGGCT